CATCCGGGCGAATGAGCAGCTTGACGATTCCATCCTCGACCTTCATAGACTTTACCATTTTCACCAACTAAAAAATGATAACCTATATCTGCCCATTCTCGATCAAGTTGATGGAAATCTTGAATAGATTTTACTCGTTGAATACATGATGCATCATCATAACAACTATAAATAATCATTTTCGTTAAATAATTTCACATAGAATATATCTACTTTGGAGGTTGATAAGTATGATGTATAACATAAAATGAAAGAGGTTTTCTTGTTAGATTTGTTATTGAAGTTGGTTCTCGTGCACCCCATCCAGCTCGATCAACGAATGATATTTCATCACAGGGTGACTGACCATTAGCAGCAGTAATACACAAAAGATAAGGCAACAATATACTTTTCATATTCCTTCAAAGCAAGATTTAAATAATAAAACGTCAAATATGGAGTATATATGATGCTTTCGTTGCTGTTGATCTTATCAGCGTTTAAATCAATCAAAAAAACCTTTTTATTTCTTTCTTGTATTTGCCGGTTTTCTCTTACAAGACAAATACATACCTAATCCGTGTGCATAAAAGAAATCATTGAATCCAATCAGTTCCCTTTGACATAACACAACATAAAAGCTAACAACTGATGAAAAAAATTCATCGAAATATTGTTTTCTACATGTTTTTACAAGATATTTATATATGTTTCTGTAGGATTCGACAAGTTCTATCTATATGTGAATATTGAAAAAGGAAATTCTGATACTTTTTTGAATACTAAACGTGAGATCAATCAAAAAGACAAATAAAACTTTAACAAATTCTGTATTCGAGTGACGTATATTTAAGTTTGAATAACTCGAGTTGAACAACTGCCCGCTTCGTTAGTGAAGCTTGGAAAGGTTATTCGCTGCTTCACTATACAACGACTCATTCCCAAAAGATATATTTTTTGTATTGAGAAGGTTGATAAAGATAGCGAACGGATATTTGGAAGGAATTTTTTATAGTGATATACTTGCTTTTAATAAATCGTCAATTTTTCATTTATTGTCAATCCCTCTCAGTGAATAGCTATTTAACCCCAACCATTATTTAATAAATATTCAGCTACTTATCTATACTAACTCATTTCTTTTTGATCATATGGTACCTGTGGTACAGGTGACCGTACGATTACTATGGTACAAATGACAATCTGATAGCTACGGCTACAATGCTACCAATGACTGTATAGGATAATAAAAAAAGGGCATATATGCACAAGTATTAATATTAACCGAGCAGTAGTCCTGGACGAAAAATATGAAATCCGTATACACGCCGTATTTCACATCATACAATCGTATTATGTTGTATTGCATGACGGAGTATTATGATCATATTTCTTCATATAGTTTACGGACAAATACGATTGTTTATAGCCAGATACTGAATAAATCAAAAGTCGTATAAGAACTCTATAAGCGATCGTATTTCTTCGCATGTGACAAGGAGAAATACGATCGTAATTCTGAATCATAAAGTTAAGGGGAAACACTTGATTATTATGACTTTTTCTTTTCTCTAGAGATTTATTTGATTTTAATGATTTGAAATGATTTTCTTCACTCCAATATTTTAAAAATTATCAAAGTCATTTATTTTATATTCCATATTTGTTACTTTAAACTTTGGTATTCTGTAGATATGTTAGCAGAAGAATTAGATACAGTTTTAATCTTTAATCTGGCAAATCATTGAAAACTATCGTAAGAGCGTTCTTGAATAATATGAAATCGAGAAAACACTACTTATTTTAACGTATTTTTATCTAAATTAGTAAAAAGAAGAAAGTAGATAATAGTTTTCAACTTATAACTGTCAATTTTTATTTTGTCGAATAACTCGTCATAATTGGTCGTCCGATAAAGATGTGTTTTCTTCTGTAAAGCTTCAGTAGAATGTTTATTTGTGTATAAATTTTTCTTTTCCGTCGATTCGTACTTTAAAATATCACCAGGATTTCGCACCTTCGACCGAATCAAAGATTCGAACATCAGCGAAAGAGGTGTGAGTAACATCATCGAGATTGTAAATACTTGAATGATGACCGTTATTGACTTCGTCATCTTCTTTATCAGTTGAGTTATCATAATAAAAGATACCATCAGGTTCAGAGGCTGACGCTATATCTTTGAGAGTAGACCCATCGGTTCTATTTGCTATCAAAAGCATACGAGACGATTCGTTGAATATCATTTTTTCGTCAATGGTCATATCATTGAGACAGTTGCAAATGTTATTGATTTCTTAGCCTATTTACGATGCTTAGGAAAATCTAAAGTTGTTAAATCAATGACTGAGCTAATCATCTCACTCTGACTGCATTACAGAACAGTTAATAATAGATTTTTAAAAAATCTCCGGATATAATTCTGGCAGAGTGAAATGTGTGAAAGCACATTTGAGACTTGAGAGGGAAAATTTAAAGAACGGCCATCAACAATTTTTCTTTTAATACAAGAAGAGTGAGATAAATTGACTGATGAGCATTGATCTCAAGTGACTGAAACGATATATCTATGATAAAAAGTTGTTTTATAGATTTTTTTTTTGACTTTGACAAGTAATGTCATGATTTGATCATTTAGCAAAAATTTTATCAAAATCATATTTTCTCTTTATGAGTAACCAAGACTACTACATGTGGCACGAAAAGAGAGGAAGTCACGCATGATAGACTCGGTCAGCTATGTTTGTGACTTTATCAAAAAAAACATAAGACAAGTTTCATGGCTTTTAGATACTTCGTATCACTGTCCATTGAAAAACTGAGTATCCAAATACCTTCTTACCAAACACTTGTCAAGTATTCAAATCCATCGTCGGATCATGTCGGTTCACATATACTTGCCATTAATTTTGTAAACTCAAAGAAGAAAAGGAGCAGAAGATTTTCCTATGCACCATTACAGGTGGTATCATATGCATACTCAAAAGTGTCGATTTATTCATAATGGAAAACTAGTCTTCTAATTCAGTAAGAGATTCTATTTGATAGTATTTTGGAACAGGAAGTTTACCAAGTAAGAGGCAATGAAGAACCAACGAAGATATTTTAAGGAGCATTATAAGTTAATCTAGGAATGACAGCAGTATAGTCTGCCAAGTAAATGACAATGCTTATATTATTCAAACTGAAATTGCACTTCAGAGTATCCAAACAAAACTCACCTATTGTAATATTGCTTTCGTCACTATCTAGAAATGACTGAATAGTAGAAACAACTGGTATAGCATCAAAAATGATAATATGAACAACTTTGTACGCATTACCAACTGGAAATATATAAAGAGACATAGAAAATCTTTGCACCCGTTTATTATAGCGGTATGAATTTTTTATACACGATAAATTTTGTATGATATTGTTAATTAGTACCGTTCAAAAAAAAGATAGATTGGTGTCATTATCCTTATTATCTTTTCTTCGATAGAATTCAGTCAGGGTTTTAAGTAGAAGATATTTGAGAAGAAACTCTTGAGAAATTATTAGATCATTGAATTGGCGATCAATCTACATAAATTGTAATTTTGTTTATCATTTGTATTTCATAATGCTTGTATCAATAAATCTATGTCGATGTGAATATCTTATTCAATTTAAAATTTGCAATTTTGATGTCGAAAACCAACTTTTTTTAAAGATTCAGTTATAAGTCGGCAGAATTCTATTTCATTAAGCCAAATACATTATTAATACATAATAAAGATTATACAGATCTTATCCTTTGAAACTTGAACATTTCTTTGACAACCATGGTATAACTATCATGCATAAGTTCATAAAACGTGTTATCATAATATGAGAGAAAGTCATCTGATAGAGCAATATATATATATGTGTTAACATTTAAGTCATAACATTTGATATTGATTAGAAGAAAAAGAACCCTTTTTTTTCAAGGAAGATTTTCCACGTAAGAATATAGATAACATCTGATGTTAACCGATTTTTTTCTAACTAAAAATCGACTAAATTGATCCTGGTTGAATATGATCAAGACCTGAGTTTTCAACTTTGAAGATAGATTCGATTTATTTTTAATATTTCTTAATCGATTTTTAAAACAATAATGTCGATCGGTAAAAATATATTAATCAATAGAAAAAGACTAAAATCAATTGAAATCTATCTTTAGAACTGAGGAATCAAGTTTGAATCAGAACTAAATAGCATTATCTTAATCGATTTTTACTATAAAAATAGTTGATTTTATCCTGATTTTTCAGCAAAATTTCTTTCATGGATTTTGTACCTCATAACAGACAAAAAAATTAGGAATCTTTATTATGCGAATGTTTTGAAAGATTGATTTGACCAATCGATACAAGCAGAGTATTTATTCAGTTCAATGACATTTCTCATCTACACACAAGGCCGAGTGCACTGTCGACTGCATTGCATGGTATGAATATTACTGGAACGGAACAGTGTGACTAAAAATACAAACCGATATGATTCTTTGAATTTAATCAGCAGACATTTTACTCGTGACAGCTTATGTTAATAAATGATAGTCTTCAAGAAATTAGAGTAAGTGCCCACCAAGGTATCTTGCTCTTTCGATCTAATTAGTAGTTCGACTTATCTCTCATGGTGTTTTTTCAAACGTTAGAATTGACTGACCTTATTCGACCTGTGATCACTATGATGATAAACTTTTTACAATGCTTATATCATATGAAACAGTACAAGCTATACGTTTTAATTTTCCTCATTTGAAAACATTTTCAGCTTGTTTACCACATTTTGAAGATTTTCGTGATGCAATTCCATCATTTATACATAATATGAAATCACTTCAATATCTTCAGATTGGTCTTGAAGGTGATAATGATAAAAAAAATTTTACTACACAAGATATGTATGAATGGTTTCAAAAACATAATATTTTACATGAAATTAGATTACATATTCATACTTATACTAATTCAATACATATTTGGTTATAATTAACCTTAAAATTTTCTTTATCTTATTCTTATGGTTGTTGTTGTTGCTTTTTTCTTTGATATTATATTTATTAAATAAAATTTTGAACGTAATAAACAAAAAAAGAAAAAAAGTTTTGTTTATAAAAAATAGATGAATAAAAGTTGAAATAAAATAATTGGGATAAATAGATGTGTTGAAGCAGATGAGGATATTTCAAGTTCTTTTTTACAAAAATTAAGAGCAAGAGATATTTGTGTTTGATTTGCAGTTAAATTTGCTCCAGAATTTTGAAATGAACAAAATCGTGACCATTTATTTACAACATTAAATGCGCCATCACCAGGACTAAATAAAAGATTAATTAAAATGAAAAATATAACTACAACAAAACCATCTCAATATGAAAATATCTTTTGAGTTCGGGCTCTATGTATAAAGTAGTCTTCGATGAAGCATTGAGAACTCGAAAAGGATAAGAATCCCTAGGTCTTCTCTACAAAGTTATAGCTGTTTTAGAGAGATTTTAGTCTGTAGTAGGATATTTACAAACGAATCGAATGATGACTTTTGATCTAAAATTGTGCTCATAGATAGGTCTATTTGTAAGAAGAATGTTTTGACTATTTCAGTTGAAAAGCATGTTTCCTTCAGAAGATATTGAATTTTCAAAAATGACTCATATTCTACAAAAGATTCGAGAATCTCATGTTTTTTGAGAATTCAACAGTTTGTGAAGAACATATTCTTGTGAGATGAAATTTTCATGACATTCTAGTTACAAGTACAACTACCTATGGGTAAAACTTCAAGTTAAAATATCATCATTCGATTCTTTTGTACATACCGTGTTATGGGTTAAAACTTCAGTAAAACGACTATAACTCTGTAGAGAAAATCAAGACATACTTATCCTTTTAGAATTTTTAGTTTTCATTGGGGCCTACCTTACACATACAGTCAGAAGTGAAAAGCAATTTTCAAATTGAAAAGGCTCTCTCGTTCAATAATCAAAAGCATTACCATTCTGTATAACCTGGTCGTTGTGATTGTCGATGAGTAATAATATAATGATCTTCTTTGACATGACCTCGTGCAATACCACATTTAATCCATGATTGTACCGTATTTAATGCTTTTTCATTTGGAGGTGCTATTGTGAAATCACCAATGATACAAATGCCTTAAAAATAAAAAGTGAATGATTGAAATAGTAATAAGCGATGCAAAAATCTTTGGAAAAATGTTTAACGCTATATTGAACTGACAGACATGTGTTCATATAAACATTTTGTTATCAGCTGATAGTTTGTTTAGTACTCTTTCCAACGATGTATGATAAACTGTTGCTGTTGATTCATAATAAAAATGACACGTGATGAACGAGAAGCACTGGCACCACGTATTTGCAACTTCTACTGTGATTCTTTTAATAGTTCCATAAAAAACTACGGTAAATTATTTTAAAAAGTAAAATATTCCACAAAGTACGATATATTATGTATTAATAAAGTATTTAAAATATGAAACTACAAAAGATCGGCCTCGAAGTAATCGTTCGGTCAAATTATTCAACAAAATTTTGCATAATGTTGTTAAATCCGTGAACAATCAGTTTGGTGTAGTGCAATGTGAAATAGAACAATGATTTGAAGCACAACAAACAACAATTTCACGCAATCTTTGAAGACGAACATCAGATGTTACAAGAAAACGCCAAAAAACTCCAAAAATGAATAATGAACAGCAACAAATTCGAGTACGAAAAAAATGTTGGCAAAGTATATCGAAAATTGTTACATGGTTGCGATATAATTGTCGACGATGAAAAATACTTCAAATTGACTGGAAACAACATCATTGAGAATCGCTATTTTTATTCAACCGATCTAGCTACAACTCCTCCACACATCTAGTTTCAAAAGCAAGCGAAATTTAAACCAAATGTAATGATTTTAATGGCTGTGTTCTTCGAAGAAGGCTTCGAATGTCTATTTTCACAAAAGCAAACAAATTATCGATCAAGAAATATATTTAAAAGAATGTATTAACGAAAGACTATTGCTGTGTATTAATAAATATCGTTGGAATGGAAATTATCGTTTCTGGTCCGATTTAGCAAGGGCACATTATTCAGGTATCGTTCAAGAATGGTTGAATGAGAAAAAAATACCATTTATTTCTCGTACTGACAATCTACGAAACATACCTCAAGTTCGCCCAATTGAAACTATATAGACTCCACTTGAACGACAAAAACTATATGAAAACAATTCGGGAGCAAAAGATGTTGATCATTTAGTTCGAAGAATCAAACAAACGGTAAAATAAGTTGATCAAGAAATGTTGCAAACTATGATAAAGGATGTTCGGAAGAAGTTTCGAGCTATGTGGCAAGATGACCTGCACTCAGTTCTCTAAATACAGGTTTTTTTTTGTAGTACTTCTCATACTTTTTCTAACACAAAAATAAATTAGCTGTTCATCTTCTAAAATTGCTGGCGTGAGCTGTGCGACTCAATATTTTTCCTCAGACTTTTGCATCGCTTATTAGATAAAAATTTTTTTACCATATGCATCATCATTCCATCCGGGCGAATGAGCAGCTTGACGATTCCATCCTCGACCTTCATA